GCACAATCGCGGCATGGCACATCGCAATTCAGCACGGCGCAGCATAGCACAACCGTTGGCACGGTACATCAAGATCGATACACTCAGCATTGCAATTGCCCGTCGCCCAATCAAGTGTCTTCAAACCGTTGCCATGCCTTACGTGTCTGTTTTCCTTTTCGGGTTCGTGGGTCGATCATTTTCGATTTGTGTTTCAAAATGCGTCTCGCGCGTGCCCGCTCGAGGAAAATGTGCCCCCTTTTCCTTTCGGATGTTGAAGAAATAACGAGGTCCGCGGACACACGTTTTCCTTTGTAGAAACTGGGTGCGGAGCGTTTTGCGCAGAATCCGCGATAAAACACGAGGTATGGAGGCTTTGAATTGTTTCGGGAAGTGGGGAAAAACAATTGTTTGCATGCCCGCTCGAGGATGGCGCGCCCTGCGCGCCAAATATCTGAGGACGTCCCGAGCGAAACGCTTGTTTTGCAGAACTTTCGCGGCCTCGGCGCCCCAGGATGCCCCGGTGGTTCTGGGAGCCCAAATGCAGCTGAATTTGCTAGGGAGCGTGGCCCTGGGAGCGCGGACACTATGTAATTTACCACGAGGGAGCGCGGCCCTGGAAGCCCGGACACAGCGTGGTTTACGAGAGATCCTGGGCCATGGAGAGCGGACGCAGCGTAATTTTCGATGGTTCGTGGCCCTGGGAGCGCGGACGCAGCGTAATTTACAAAAAGGATCCTGGCCCTGGGGGGGCGGACGCAGTGTAATTTACTGGGGAACGTGGCCCTGGGAGCGCGGACACAATTTAATTCACGAAGGAGCGCGTCCCCTGGGAGCGCGGACGCAGCGTAGTTTACAAGGGATCGTGGTCCAGGGAGAGCGGACGCAGCGTGGACGCAGTGTAATTTACGATGGTTCGTGGCCCTGGGAGCGCGGACGCAGCGTGATTTACGAGGGATCCTGGTCCTGGGTCAGGGGCGTCCCGTGGCACGTTCCTTGACGTGTTCCCTGGCATGCGCGTCGCCTGGCACCTTCCATGCCACGTTCGTGGCGCGTCCCGTGGCGAGTCCCCTGACACGTCGCGCGGCGCATCCCTTGGCACTTCCTGTGGCACGTTCATTGGCACGTTCCGTAGCGCGTCCCCTTGATACGTCCCGCTGTGCGTCCACATGGCCTGTCCCCTGACACGTGCCCTGGCGTGTTCCTTGGGACCTTCCGCGGCGCGTCCCCTTGGCATGTCCCCATGGCATCCCCCAGCTGCATATGCAATTGAGGTCCTTGGAAACGGTTCCACGTTTCGCAGTTCTCAATCCTTTTCTGGGTTCGTAGGCCGATCTGCGGGCAAGATTTATATCCATATCCACTGCGCCTTGGAGTTTCTGGGAAGGGGCGCCACGAGGCCGAGGCGAAGTGGATATGGATAAAGACCCAGCGGCTACGACGATGCTCCGCCATTTCTCGAGCTGCATCGACTTGTCAGCGCCCCCGGGCCCGCAGCCAAGCGCGAGCGCCCGCTGCGGAAAAACTGCAGCGACCAGGATCTCCGAGTCCGCTGGCCCTGGAGTCGTCCGGGACCCGCGCTGTCGCCCCTGCTGCCGGTGCGTCGCCACCGCTGCCGCGTGTCGCCCGGGGTGCCGCTCCCGCCGGTACTGGCCTCCCAAGAGCTCCGCACGCGCTTCCAGGGCGCTCGGCCTGGGCTCGCCTACGACGGGCCCCGTGCCGAGTTCGGCGTGGTTCAACACGTTGTTTGGCAACAAGCTCCAACCCGTTGCTCGAACCGTTGTTCGAAGAGCGTTGTTCGACCCGTTGTTCGACCCGTTGGTCGGCGTTGTTCGACCCGTTGTTGTTCGACCCGTTGTGTGTTCGACCCGTTGTTTGTGCTGGGTTCGGCGTTGTTCGACCCGTTGCTCGGCCTTGTTCGTCCCGTTGCCCCTCCCACATGCTTTCCGATGACTGGGTGATGCGCTTCGCCCTGCCGATAAGCGTTCGCGTATGCCGCAAGTTTGGTGAGGGCTGTCTCAGGCGCTGAGGGCATATACTTTCTTTGCTGGCGTGCCACCCTGCACTGCGAGAGTCGTATCCGGATCAGCTGTAGCAATCGGTTTCGTCGGCCTACTTCTCTTGCTTTTTCCCGGAAAGGGCACAGGCCCAGGGTTCTTTTTTAGGGGTTTGCCCCCGGATCTGACGGCTGTAGGGCCGGCGAACTTCTTTCGCGATAAATTACGAGGTCGCTTAGGGCCGGCGAATTAAAAAGTTGAGGATGTCTCGAGCAAAACACTTGCGTTTCAGAATTTGTTGAGGATGTCTCGAGCGAAACGCTTGTTTTGTGTCATAGATTGTCCTCTCCTGGGGACCTGAATTCAGAGGATCTCTCAAGTGACATGCTTGTTTTCACGTGCCCAGGTCTTGAGGACGTCTCGAGCGAGACGCTTGGTTTCACGCCTCCAGGTCGCCCAGGCAGAGGTCTAGCGCCAGGATTTGTTGAGGATGTCTCGAGCGAGACGCTTGGTTTCACGCGTCCTCGTCGCCCAGGCGGATGTCTAGCATGAGGATGTCTCGAGGAAGTCTCAATCGAGACGCTTGTTTGCACGTGTCCAGGTTGCCCAGGCGGATGTCTAGCATGAGGATGTGCTGGGAATGTCTTGAGCGGAACGCGTGTTTCCACGTGTCCAGGTCGCCCAGGCACAGCACAGCCCTCGGCACGGTACATCAATATCGTTCCCCCCAGCAGTGCAGCCTGGCATGTTGCTTGGCACGTTCCGCAGAGCATCCCGTGGCGAGTCCCCCTGGCACGTCGCGCGGTGCACGTCCATTGGCACGTTCCGTAGCGCGTCCCCTTGGCACGTCCCGCGGTGCGTGCCCATGGCACGTCCCCTGGCACGTCGCCTGGCGCGTCCCTTGGGACGTTCCTCGGCGCGTCCTCCTGGCATGTCCCCTCTGTCGATTAGTTCTGGGGCAGCTACCATCTGTTCAGGCAGCTCGAGCTTAAGATCCAGATCAGTTCGGTCAGGACTCGGATGCAAAGAGGACTCGACCTACAACGTTAAATCGAGCACAATCGTGGCATGGCACATCGCAGTTCAGCACGGCCCAGCACAGCACAGCCGTCGGCACGGTACATCAAGGTCGATACACTCAACATTGCACCTTGGCACGCTCCTTGGCGCGTTCCGTGGCGAGTCCCCCTGGCACGTCGCGCGGCGCGTCCCCTGGCACGTCCCGCGGCACGTCCCGTGGCACGTTCCGTAGCGCGTCCTTTTGGCACGTCCCGCGGTGCGTGCCCCTGGCACGTCCCCTGGCACGTCGCCTGGCGCGTCCCTTGGGACGTTCCGCGGCGCGTCCTCCTGGCATGTCCCCTCTGTCAATTAGTTCTGGGGCAGCTACCATCTGCTCAGGCAGCTCGAGCTTAAGATCCAGATCAGTTCGGTCAGGACTCGGATGCAAAGGAGGACTCGATCCACAACGTTAAATCGAGCACAATCGCGGCATGCCACATCGCAGTTCAGCACGGCGCAGCACAGCACAGCCCTCGGCACGGTAATTACAGCAAGATCGATACACTCAACATTGCAGTTTGGCACGTTCCGTGGCGCGTCCAGTGGCGAGTCCCCCCGGCACGTCGCGCGGCGCGTCCCCTGGCACGTCCCGTGGCACGTCCATTGGCACGTTCCGTAGCGCGTCCCTTTGGCACGTCCCGCGGTGCGTCCCCATGGCACGTCCCCTGGCACTTGCTCTGGCGTGTCCCTTGGGACATTCCGCGGCGCGTCCTCTTAGCAGATCCCCCTGTCAATTAGCTGTGGGGCAGCTACTATGTGCTGAGGCAGCTCGAGCTGAAGAACCAGATCAGTTCGGTCAGGACTCGGATGCAAAGGAGGACTCGATCCACAACGCTATAGAGCACAATCGCGGCATGGCACATCGCAATTCAGCACGGCCCAGCACAGCACAGCCGTCGGCACGGTACATCAAGATCGATACACTCAGCATAGCAATTTGGCACGTTCCGTGGCGCGTTCCGTGGTGAGTCCCCCTGGCACGTCGCGCGGCGCGTCCCCTGACACGTCCCGTGGCACGTTCCATAGCGCGTCCCTTTGGCACGTCCCGCGGTGCGTCCCCATGGCACGTCCCCTGGCACGTCGCCTGGCGCGTCCCTTGGGACGTTCTGCGGCGCGTCCTCCTAATTAGCATGTCCCCCTGTCAATTAGCTCTGGGGCAGCTACTATGTGCTGAGGCAGCTCGAGCTGAAGAACCAGATCAGTTCGGTCAGGACTCGGATGCAAAGGAGGACTCGATCCACAACGCTATAGAGCACAATCGCGGCATGGCGCACAGCACAGCCCTCGGCACGGTACATCAAGGTCGATACACTCAGCATTGCATTTGCCCGTCTCCCAATTAGGTGTCTTTGAAACGCCGCCATGCTTTACATTTCTACATTCCTTTCCGGGTTCGTGGGTTGATCATGTTTTTTGTCGGAAAGGGCGTCGGCCCAGGGTTCTCCTTTAGTAGGTCTGTTTCCCACAGGAATCGACTTGAGACGGGCCGGCGAAATTGTTATACAATAGATTATGCGATACATGACGATGTCGAGACGGGTCGGCGAACTCAATGTTGAGGATGTCCCGAGCGAAACGCTGTTTTTTGAAATTCCGATCGATAAAACACATGGTGAAGTAAGCATTTTCGTTTGTTGCGGATGTCTCAAGCGAAACGCTCGTTTTGCATAGTTTGTTGAGGATGTGTCGAGCGAAACGCTGGTTTCGGAAACTTCCAGGAACCTGGACCCCGAAGGATACCCCAGGGGGCCCTGGGAGTGCGGACGCAGCGGAATTTACAGCGGATCGTGGCCCTGGGAGCGTGGACGCAGCTCAGTTTACCAGGGATCGTGGCCCTGGGAGCGCGGACGCAGCGTAGTTTACGAGGAAGCGTGGCCCAGAGAGAGCGGACGCAGCGTAGTGTACGAGGGTACGGCCGGTCGCGCCGACGCCTGATCCAGACAGCTGCAGGTCAGCGCCAGAGGCATGCTCGACCGCAAATTGGCGGAGCAGATCGAGCGCCACCATGACGCGTTGAAGACCTCGGAAGAGCAGGGCAAGTCGGTGGCCCCTGGAGGCATGGAGGGGTATGCGCAAGGCACCGCCACGACACCACTGTCGATGTGCAGCCCGGAGCTCTGGTCCATGTGTTTCCCCGACAAGTTCCCTTACGGTGATGGAGTTTTCGGCCTGTCCTGGACTGCGCCCATGTCTTTCCAGCAGTGCACGTCAATGCATCTCCTCCGCGAGGAGCTGGTGCATCAGGTGACTCCCGAGGACTTGTCCGCGGCCGCAACCTCCAAGACGTGGGGCGCGGGTGGCGCGGACGGGCCTGGCGCGACCGGGCGGGCCTGCGCTCCCGGCGGCTCTTCGTGCGGCTGTCCCGTGCCGGCGCTGCGAGGTGCCCGAGCAGCCGCGCTGGGGGGCCGACCGCGATCTGCTCTGCGGTTGCTACGACGCCGGGCGGCGCATCGAGCAGATCCGCAGGGCCAGGGGCCACGTGAACAGAGTGGGCTTCAAGGAACGCCCAGACAAGATCTGCGCGCGGCCTCCTCGGAGGAGCTCGACGCCGCCGCGCAGAACCTCGGGCCGAATGCGTCCCTGAAGGACGCGCTGCGGTCCCCCGCCGTGGACCAGGACGTCAGGGGCGCCTTCTCCGAGCTGATGGTGTTCACTGCCGAGGTTCTCGGCTCTGACGGCGCGCGCGCGAAACTGCGCCACGAGCAGAACGGCTTCGCCCTCGTGTTTGGCGGCGCCGGAGGTTTCCCGACCCCGAACGTCGCGGACGCGCGGAGCCCCATCTTGCTCGCGCTGCACTCGGCGGGCGGCTGCGAGACCCACGCCGTGGACCTCCTCGCGGAGGCCCCCGACATGCCCTCCGCTCGGCGGATGCTCCAGATCGTGGCCCAGGGCCCGGTGGCCCATGCCCGCTTCTTCATCTTCACCATGCAGATCTTCTGCGAGCACGTCCTCGGCACCGGCCCCTGGGACAGCCAACTGCGCCACAACGGGCGACGCGACGGAGCGGCCTTCCCCGACGGCTTCGCTTCCTCGTGCGCGGGTGGGGCCTTCCTTGCGGTAGCGGCGCTGCACGGGCCCATCGAGGAGCAGGCCCGGCTCTCCATCCACCCGCGCATCCTCCTGTGGTTCGCGCAGGCGCAGTCCGAGCAGTGGCCGCGATGCATGGTCAACATGGAGACCGAGGAGATCCGCCGGCGGCTTCGCGCGTGGCAGGAGAAGACTTTGGCCGCCGCGCAGTCCATGCAGCTGGACTCCGCGGCCGTGCTCCCGCTGCTCCTGACCGACGACCCCGGCCAGGTGCCCGAGCCCAGGAACACGCCCTTCTCTGAGAAGCTGCAGCAGGAGTGCCGTATGGACGGCGAGCTGGAGCACGACGTGAAGGAGCCGGAGAAGCGGCGCGTCTTCCTGGCCACCGAGCCCAGCTTCGAGGACCGCCACCTCCGTCGGCACCAGCTCGCGCTGTCGGCCAAGGGACGTGAGGCCCGCGAGCGAGTATATGGTGCCACAGACGAACGCTCAGCTCTGTCGCCTCGAGGCTTACAGGCTGCTGCGCCCCGTCACGGACGACGACCTGGAGACCGCGGCGGGCCGCAGGTGGCCAGAAGGTGGCGCGGTTGATGCGGAGTTTTCTCGCTTAGTGGATTTGCGGGAGCAGGGCGAGTCCTACTAGGTGGCTCCTCCACCAGGGCATGTGCGCAGCGCGCATGCCCCAGCGCAGCCTGGCGCGGCTGCTAGTGGCGCCTCGGACTCTGTCGCCGCGCCCGCCGCTGGCAGCGCCTCGCGGCCCGCCGCGGGTTCTACGGCCGCGACCGCCTCTGCCGATTGCAGCGAGTTGCAGCCGGCCGCCGACCCCGCGGCCACGAACGCTTCCTCGGATGCAAGCTCGGGCAACGGGCCAGCTCAGGGATCCGCCTCAGGCCGCAGGCAGAGGCCAACTGAGGGCTCAACATCGCAGCGTGCAGCTCAGGGCTCCTGCGGCGCAGATGACGCAGCGGACGTGACCCACGCTTTCGCGGTGCACGGCGCGGAGCTTGCGTTGGCCATGGTCCACGGGTATAAGCTGGTCGAGAAACGCCATCGCAAGTTCTCGACCGGGTGGTACGCGCTTCACGGTGGGCGTCAGGACACAGATGTTGCGAGGAGCGCCGCCGGCATGTACCCCGACCTCCTACGCGGCAGCAAAGCCAGGCACTACCAGGGCGCGGTCGTCGGCCTCGTGCGCATTGGTGAACACCGTGGAAAGGAGGATTGCAACGAGCACGCGTGGGCGATTGGGCCAGTGTGCAATGTGCTGTCGGCGTCCGTGCTGCTCGACCGCCCGGTGGCCGCGAGGGGGAATCAAGGCCAATGGCCACTGCCCGCGGAAGTGCGGAACGACGTTTTGAAGCAGATCCGTGCTGGAGACTGCGTGCCGATGTTCTTCGACATCGGCGCGCTCGCGGCGCCTGCGTAGGTTGCCACTTCCGAACCGCGGGGGCGTTTGCACCCGCAGTGTCAGCCTCCGCGCACGAAGCTTCTGAGTCGCCCAGCTTCCGCTCTGCCTGGCGTTGCGCGGAGCCGGCCTTTGTTCCCAACTCCGACGCGCACAGCGCCCCAGCCCTCGCGTTTCTTCCACCCTGCCCGGCGTTGCGCCCTCAGGGCCAGTTGATTTTTTCATGATTCCTTCGTTCAGCGACGGGCATTGCACCCTCAGGGTCAGCTCATACACCCAATTCGTCATGTTTGTTTCTGATTGCCGCATCTTCGGCCTCCACCTCTTTCTTCTCCTCGTCTGCGTCGGGCTTTGCGCCCTCGGGTCCGCCCACGCTACGCCCCATCCCTGCTCAGCTTTGTACTCTCGAGGTCAGTCGTATTTCTTGCGCGTCCGCGCTCACTGCTACTTCTGTACGTTGGGAATTGCACCCCCAGGGTCATCTCTCGTCTCCCCCGGCTCTGCCTGGCGGGGGCCGGAGTGCTCCTTGCGCCGCCCAATGTTCGCTGGCATTGTTCTCGCAGTGTTCGCGACCTCGTTGCGCCGATTTGTTCAAACAGTACGTTGTGACTTGATTCAACATCGGAACTGATTCGGATCTTGAGCTCGAGTTAGTTGATTTCTCCGCTCCATCACCACCACCACCACCATATTCATGATCATCAATGAGCCCGCGGGGGCCTCTCGGGGCCGAAATCTTACGCGAAGTGATTTGGACATTGAGCTGTTTCTCGTTTGTGTCTTCCTATTCGTTTGAAGAGCTTCTCGGCCCGAGCTTTGAATTCAGGCAGGTCGAGTTCAGTATGCATATAAGTTCGGTCAGGAGTCGGACGCCAAGGACGAAATGCACTAGCGCACAGAGTAGTTCAAAAGAACACAACACATTTCAAGTCTGCACATAATGGCACAGCACAGCGCAGCCAGCGGCACTTTACATCATCATTACCTTGAACATTGCAAGTGCCCTTCAACCGATTCGGTGTCGTGAGTAGTTTCCATGTTTCTCATTTCTATATTCCTTTCCGGGTTCGTGGGTCCATCATGTTTGAATGCCCGCTCGAGGATCGCGCACCCCGCGTGCCGAATGTTTGAGGATGTTTCGAGCGAGACGGTTGGTTTGCAGCGATCCTGGCCTTGGGAGCGCAGACGCAGTGTAGTTGACGAGGGATCCTGGCCCTGGAGGCGCGAACCCAGCGTAATTTACGAAGCACCGTGGCCCTGGGAACGCGGACTCTGCGTAGTTCACGAGGGAGCGCGGCCCTGGGAGCGCGGACGCAGCGTAGTTTACGAGGGGTAGTGGCCCAGGGGGAGCGGACGCATCATAATGTACGATTGATCCTGGCACTGGGGGGGGGGCGGACACACCACACCGTATGAAGTGAAGGAATGAAGGGAGTGCGGGCGCACCGTAATTCACGAGGGAACGTGGCCCTGGGGGGTACGGACACCGCGTAATGTATTAGGCATCCTGCACCTGGAGGAGCGACACAGTGCAGTTGGCGAGGGGTCGTGGCCCTGGTGGCGCGGGCGCAGTGTAATTTGCAAGAGATCGTGGCCCTGAGAGCGCGAACCCAGCATAGTGTACGAGGGATCGTGGCCCTCGCAGCGCGAACCCAATGTAACTTATTAGGGACCGTGGCCATGGAGCGTGAATCTTGTATAATTTTCGAGTGATCGTTGCCCTGGGAGCGCGAATCCATCGTAGTTGTCGAGGGACCGTGGCGTTGAGAGCGGAACTCCCGCGTACTGTACGAGGGGTCGCGGCCCTGGGAGCGCGGACGCCGAGTGATTTACGTTGGACCGTTGTTTCAGGAGCGCGGACGCAGCGTTCCCTGGCACGTCCCCTGGCACGTCCGCTGGCACGTTCCGTGTCGCGTCCCCTGGCACGCCATTTTACAACGCGGCACAGCGCAGAGCAGTACAACACAGCCCCTGGCACAGCGTCATGACCATGGATATCTTCAGCATTGTCACTGCCCATCGCCCAATTGAGGTGCTCGGAAACGTTTCCATTCCTCGAAGTTTTAAATCCCTTTCCGGGTTCGTGGATCGATCATGTCTCCACTCGTAGCTCAAAGTTTTGTTTGGCGCCAGCCTCGTCGTTGATCTCAGACCCAGCGCGCTTGCCCACCATACCGCTTCAGCTACGCATGTGTTATTCAGCTGCCTGCTGCGATGGCGTCCACAGTGCCAGCGCGGTAACGTAGCAGGGTGAAGGTTGAATCAGAGACCCTGTCCAGTTCAGTGCCCTGTTTGAATTGGCGAAGGCTTAGAAGCCACGAGGAGACAAGCGCATTATTTGTGCTACCCTCGCACTTCGGGCCAACACGCGATTTGCATGCTTCGGGTCCGCTGCAATTGCATGGGGCGAGCTGGTGTGAGAGGATACCTTCATGGAAGCATTATTGGACTCGGCTGCAGGCTGGATGCTTTCAGTTTTCCGTCAACGTGAACAAGAACGGCGATACCGAGGTATGAGAGCATAAGAACAGCAGGGTGGGCCAGACATATTGTGTGGGCAGTGCTTCCAAAAGGGCAGAGCCAAGCCTTTTGGGTTTATCCTCATCCAGCAGCGGCGGGAATATTGTCGTGCTTGTTCCAGCATTTCGGCCCAAATTTCTTTCGGACACCTGTAGCGTGCGCCGGCCGTTGCACGTACGGGGCTTGCCCCCGCGGCTTCCCACGATGGCTTCTGCCCCCGCCGTCAAGCTGCAGAAGGCCACGCAGAAGGGCTTGGCGCAGCGTGCCCTCGCTGACACTGCCAAGGACGCATCAAGCAGCAGCATCAAGGTGTGCGTCCGTGTACGGCCTTTCATCAAAGAGGAGATCTCGGGCGATCGCAGCGGTGGCATGTGCGTGTGCTGCATCGAGATGCCGACCACGACCACTACCATCATGAGGAGTCGCGGGGTTGCTCGCCCCTAATCCCCGAATTCTGGCCTCTGAGGCCTCAGGATGGTCAAAAAGTTGGCCTAGAGGAGCCCCAGAGAGACCCAAGACGGTCGACTGGTGCCCCCAAGACCCTTGGCTCAGAGATGGTCTGAGGGCTTCTGAGACGGCCCTCAAGCTCGCCAAGACGGCCCCAAATGGCTGGCCCCCAAGAGGCTCCCAAGAGGCCTCCACGAGGCCCACAGGAGGCGACAACCTTTCAACAACCTAAACATAAAAACAATCAGTTTTTCAAGATTTCGCCTTCTCGCTCCCAAGGGGCCTCTCAGACCTCAGGATGGTCAACAAAATGGCTTTCGAGGAGCCCCAGTGAGGCCCACGACGATCCTGGGGCCCTCAAGACCCTTCAAGATGGTCCCGAGACGGCCGAAGATGGTTTCGAGACGGCGAGCGCGCCAAGACCGCTCCAGATGGCCTCCAGCCGGCCCCAGAGAGTTAAAGATGGCCTCAAGACGGTCCCTGGAGGCCCCGAAAAATCAGGCTACTCAGAAAAGACGGAAAATTCGGGAATCCATTTCTGGGGGCCGATATACCACTACCGAGGATGGACGCCGCCCCATGATACATCTCCGAGTTGGACCCCAAATATGATGTGAAGTCGCAAACCCTACACAGTCGGTGATTGGGGTCGACATTCTGCCCCTGGAGGAAGGGCGAGACGGCGCGAGAGTTCGAGTACGATCGCTGTTACTGGTCGCACACCAAGGACCACCCCCTCTACGCCACCCAGCAGACTCTCCACGATGAACTAGGAGTCGAAAAAGAAAACAACCAAAAACATAAGCATAAACGTCCAGAGTTTTGCACGGATTTCTTTGATCAGCGCTGGGCCCCCCTAGCGGTGCCTCTGGCGCCTCCCCTGGCGCGCTCCGCGCGCCAGGAGGAGGTGTCCACCCCGTATCCAAGAAATGCGTTCGGACCACCGAAAGTTAATGTTTGTGCAATAATTCGTTAAGGGGTAACGATGCTGTCGCACGCCTTCGACGGCTACAACAATTGCGTCTTCGCCTATGGGCAGACGGGCAGTGGCAAGAGCTACAGCGTCGTGGGCAGCGCGGGCGACGACCGTGGTCTCCTGCCTCGCATCGTCGAGGGTCTCTTTCAGAAGAGCGCGGCAATGTCGAAGGACAGTAAGATGAAGATGGTGGTAAGCGTAATGGAGATTTATAACGAGGAGATCCGTGATTTACTCAACATCCAAGCCGTGAGTGCGTCGCAGAAGAAGTTGGACGTACGGTTGCATCCCACGCTGGGAGTGACGATCCCTGGTCTCACGGAACACCCTTTGGACAGTTGCGCCAATGTCATCACTATCGTCCATGCGGGGCTTGATAACCGAAAGGTGGGTTCCACTGCAATGAACGCGTCGAGCAGTAGAAGCCATTGCATTTTTACCTTTAAGACTAGCTTCGTGGAACCTGACGGCAACACCAAGTCGTCACAAACTCACTTGGTAGATTTGGCTGGCTCAGAGCGGGCAAGCCGAACTGGGGCTGAAGGCGATCGCTTGAAGGAGGGTGCTGCTATCAATAAGGCTCTCTCGACTTTGGCCAGGGTTATCTATAAGGGCTTCGCCCTCTGCCGCCGGCCCCCTCCATGAGAGATGCCAGAGCAATGGTGGGACGTGTCGGAGCTGTTTTGTGTTGAAAATTTTCGGGAACATCGCGCGAGGGCGCTTGACATTCACCAAGCACCTTGAGATGTTGGACTTGCTGTTGAACGCTCTGTTCCCTCCTCAGAGCGCAAATCTGGTTTAATTTACGGGGGATCGCTCGGGAGCGCGAATCTGGTGTAACTTGCAAAGGCTGTTTCGGGAGTCCGAATCTGGTACATTTTCCTGGAAAGGGCGTGGGCCCAGGGTTCTCTTTTAGTTTTGGTATCCCCCGGTTTCGGCCGGCGAAATTATTTGCGATAAACGACGAGGTCGCGTAGGGCTGGCGAATTTTGTTTGGAGGATGTCTCGAGCGAAACGCTTGTTTGTTTTCAGAATGTGTTGAGGATGTCTAGAGCGAAACGCTGGTTTTGCAGAGTTGGGGGATGTCTCGAGCGGGGACCTCGTGGGGGGCCAGAATTCAAAGGATGTCTCAGGCGAAATGCTTGTTTGCATGTGCCCAGATTGGCCAGGGGGGTATCCAACATGATTGTCCCTCGCTGGCGCCCCAGACGACCGCATGTTGGATATCCCCCCTGGGTAGGTTGGAACTATGAGTTTTTACGTGTGCAGGCCATCAAGGGGGTATCTAAAATGGTGTCCCGAGCTGGAATCATGTGTTTTTACGTGTCCAGGCTGCTCAGGGGTGTATCGAACATGGTGGTCCCGAGCTGGAGCCACGTGTTTTTATTTGTTCAGACAACCCAGGAAGGGTATCTAAAATGGTTTTCCTGCGCTGGAGCCGCGTGTTTTCAAGTGTGCAGGCCACCCTGGGGAGTATCTAACATGGTGGTCCTGTGCTGGCACCATGTGTTTTTACGTGTCCAGGCTGCCCAGGGGGTATCTAACATGATTGTCCGAACTGGAGCCACGTGTTTTACGTGCCCAGGCTGCCCAGGGGGGACTTCCACCATAGCGTCGGGCCCAACGCCGAATCATCAGGAAACGCACAGGGTGGCGAAAAGCGCTACCCGAACACCTATCCCAATCCAGAAAAGTGATGTTCTCTTGCTTTGGACAGGGGTTGGCGCTTTGGGGGCTTCTCCAGGGAAGACATCGCGAGGATGTCTCGAGCGGGAGCGCGAATTCAGCGTATCCAGGCCACGCAGGGGGTATCTAACATGGCTGTCCCGAACTGGAACCACGTGTTTTTACGTGTCCAGGTCACCCAGGGGGGGGGGGTCCCACATGATTGCCCCGAGCAAGGACCACGTGTTTTAACATGTTCAGGCCACCAAGGAGGTGTATCTAACATGGTGGTCTTGCGCTGGAACCGCGTGTTTTCAAGTGTGCAGGCCACCCTGGGGAGCATCTAGCATGGTGGTCCTGTGCTGGAGCCACGTGCTTTCACGTGTCCAGGCCACCCCGGGGGGTATCCAACATGATTGTCCGAATTGGAACCACGTGTTTTTGCGTGTCCAGGCCGCCCAGGGAGGGTATCCCAAATGGCGTCGGGCCCAACGCCGAATTACCAGGAAACGCACAGGCGGGCGAAAAGCGCTACCCGAACACATCACAATCCAGAAAAGTGTTGTTTTCTTGCTCTGGACAGGGGTTGGCGCTTTGGGGGCCTCTCCAGGGAAGACATCGCGAGGATGTCTCGAGCGGGAGCGCGAATTCAGCGTATCCAGGCCGCGCAGGGGTGTTTCTAACATGGTTGTCCCGAGCTGGAATCACGTGCTTTCATTTGTCCAGGCCACACAAGGGGGTATCTAACATGACTGCCCCGAACAAGGATCACGTGTTTTACTTGTCCAGGCCACCCAGGGGTGTATATAACATGGTTGTCCCGAGTTGGCACCATGTGTTTTTACGTGCCCAGGCCGCTCAGGAGGGCATCTATGATGGTTGCCCCGAGCAAGGACCACGTGTTTTACCGTGGCCAGGCCACCCAGGAGTGTATCTAACATGGTGGCCCAGAGTTGGCACCCACGTTTTTGCCGTGTCCAGGCCGCCCAGGGGGGTATCTAACAGGATTGCTCCGAGTTGGCACCACGTGTTTTGACGTGTCCAGGCCACTCAGGGGCGTATCTCACATGGTTGTCCCGAGCTGGTACCACGTGTTTTACCGTGTCCAGGCCACCCAGGAGGGTATCTAACATGATTGTCCCGAATTGCAGCCAAGTGTTTTTTACGTGTCCAGGCCGCCCAGGGGGGATCTAACATAGCGCCGTGTCCAACACCGAAGTATCAGGAAACGCACGGGGGCCGAAGAGCGCTACCCGAACACATATCCCGATACAGAAAAGTGTTGTTTTCTTGCTCTGGACAGGGGTGGGCGCTTCCGGGGCATCTCCAGGGAAGGCATTGCGATAATGTCTCGAGCGGGAGCGCGAATTCAGCGTATCCAGGCCACGCAGGGTGGTACAGTATCTAACATGGTTGCCCCGAGTTGGAACCACGTGTTTTTCTCATTGCCCAGGCCACCCGGTGGGATATCTAACCTGGTTCTCCCGAGCTGGAACCACGTGTTTTTACGTGTCCAGGCCACCCAGGGGGGTTTAACATCGTTGTCCCGAGCTGGTCCCATGTGTTGTTACCTGGCCAGGCCACGCATGGGGGATCTCTCACATGGTGGTGCTGTGCTGAAGCGTAGTGTTTTTACATGTCCAGGCCACCCAGGGGGGGTATCTAACATGATTGCCCCGAGCAAGGACCACGTGTTTTGACGTGCCCAGGCTGCTCAGGGGTGTATCGATCATGGTTCGCACCACGTGGTATTACATGTCCAGGCCACCCAGGGGGGGATACTTACCATGGTTGTCCCGAGCAAGGACCACGTGTTTTTCCCGGAAAGGGCTCGAGCCCAGGGTTCTTTTTTTGAGGTTTACCCCCGGATCTGACGGCTGTAGGGCCGGCGAAATTATTCTGCGATATTACGTGCGGGAGTAGGGCCGGCGGAATTATTTTTGAGGATGTCTCGAGTGAAACGCTTGTTTTTTCAGAATTTGTTGAGGATGTCTCGGGCGAAACGCTGGTTTTGCAGAGTTGGGGATGTCTCGAGCGAAACGCTTGGTTTCAGAATTTGTTGAGGATGTCTCGAGCGAAACGCTGGTTTTGCAGAGCCGACCGCGACACGGAAAAGCGCTCCTCGCGCAGGAATTCCGAGGATGTCTCGCGCGTGCCGCGTCCCGCGCGCAGGAATTTGGATTTCTTAAGGTTTTGACCGGATTTCTCGAGCGAAACGCTTGTTTTTCATAATTTGTTGAGGATGTCTCGAGCGAAACGCTGGTTTTGCAAAATTGTGGGATGTCTCGAGCGGGGGCCTCGTGGGGGGCCAGAATTCAGAGGATGTCTCAGGCGAAATGCTTGTTTTCGTGTCCCGCTCGCAGGAATTCCGAGGATGTCTCGCGCGTGCCGCGTCCCGCGCGTGGGAATTCGGATGATTTTGATAGGATGTCTCGAGCGAAACGCTTGTCCCCAGCACGTTCAGTAGCGCGTCCCCTTGGCACGTCCCGCGGTGCGACCCCATGGCACGTCCCCTGGCACGTCGCCTGGCGCATCCCTTGGGACGTTTCGCGGCGCGTCCTCCTGGCATGTTCCCCTGTCATTAGCTCTGGGGCAGCTACTATGTGTTCAGGCAGCTCGAGCTTAAGATCCAGATCAGTTCGGTCAGGACTCGGATGCAAAGGAGGACTCGATCCACGACGCTATAGAGCACAACCGCGGCATGGCACATCGCAATTCAGCACGGTGCAGCACAGCACAGCCCTCGGCAGGTACATCAAGATCGATACACTCAGCATTGCAACTTGGCACGTTCCTTGGCACGTTCCGTGGGGCGTCCCTTGGCGAGTCCCCCTGGCACGTCGCGTGGCGCGTCCCCTGGCACATTCCGTGGCACATCCATTGGCACGTTCCGTAGCGCGTCCCTTTGGCACGTCCTACGGTGCGACCCCATGGCGCGTCCCCTGGCACGTCGCCTGGCGCATCCCTTGGGACGTTTCGCGGCGCGTCCTCCTGGCATGTTCCCCTTGTCCATTAGCTCTGGGGCAGCTACTATGTGTTCAGGCAGCTCGAGCTTAAGATCCAGATCAGTTCGGTCAGGACTCGGATGCAAAGGAGGACTCGATCCACGACGCTATAGAGCACAGTCGCGCCATGGCACATCGCAATTCAGCACGGCGCAGCACAGCACAGCCCTCGGCAGGGTACATCAATATCGATACACTCAGCATTGCATTTGCCCGTCACCCAATCAGGTGTCTTTGAAAACGCTGCCATGTGTTACAGTTTTATATTCCTTTCCGGGTTCGTGGGTCGATCATGTTCCCGTAAAGGGCTGAGGCCCAGGGTTCTCTCTTAGTGGGTTTACCCCCGGTTTTGACTTGAAGAGGGCCGGCGAAATTATTCTGCGCAAATAACGAGGTAAAGTGCTAATGTTTTTTTTTTTTTTTTTTTTTTTTTTTTTTTTTTTGAAAAAGTGCGTTTCGTGCGTGCCCGCTCGAGGAAAGTGCGCCCCCCATCTCGGATCCTCGATAAAAAACGGGGTCCGCAGACCCCCGTTTTCCCTCGTGAAAAAGAGGATGCAGAGCGTTTCTCGCAAAATCCTCAACAAATAACGGGGTCTGGAGCCCCGACCGCGACGCGGAAAAGCGCCCCGCGCGCAGGAATTCCGAGGATGTCTCGCGCGTGCGCGTCCCGCGCGCAGGAATTTCGAGGATGTCTCGACTAATTCGCTTGTTTTGCCAGGATTTCTTAGAATTTTGGCAGGATGTCTCGAGCGAAACGCTTTTCTTACATAGTTTGTTGAGGATGTCTCGAGGGAAACGCTGGTTTTGCAAAATTTGGGGATGTCTCGAGCGGGGGCTTCGTGGGGGGCCAGAATTCAGAGGATGTCTCAAGCGAAATGCTTGTTTTCGTGTCCCGCTTGCAGGAATTCCAAGGACGTCTCGCGCGTGCCGCGTCCCGGAGTTT